GCATATTTTTTTTCTAATCTACCGTTCCTTCGTATAGCTGTCTCATCACAAGAATATAGAGAAAGAAACTTGCTTGTAGCTCTTTTAAATAAACATTGTACCTATTTTTAAGTACAACTTTGCGAATATTAAGTAGCACTAATTTATTAGAGTAAATACAACCAAAACGTGTACTTTATTGAACCTGTGACTAATAATCTATATATATATAACTCAAAGGTGACTGACATAGTGATCTATCAACGCACAGCCCAAACCACTGGATGGATCGGGCTGAAATTTAGCATGCAGGTAGATATTATGACGTAGGCATCCGCTAAGAAAAGATTTTGATAAATTCTACCCCTAAGGGGACAAAATAGGAGATGAAAGTTTATATGAAACTTTGTCAATTTTAAACCGATCGGGCTGAGACTTTGCATGCATAAAGCTACTATGACGTAGGCATCCCTTAAGAAAGGATTTTGATAAATTCCATCCCTAAGGGGACAAAATAGGGGATGAAACTTTGTCAATTTTAAACCGATCGGGCTGAGAATTTGCATACGTTAAGCTACTATGCCGTAGGCATCCCCTAAGAAAGGATTTTAATAAATTCCAACCCTAAGGGGATAAATTAACGCAAGCGAAGCCGCGGGAAAAAGCTAGTAGAACATAAAAATCAAGAAGCGTACGTAGCTACTGCGCTGTGTGGGTTGAAAATAACGCAAGAGTTTGGAATACTAATTGTACAAGTTCGATTAGCACTTTGCCTTTTTTATTATTTTATGGGGATGATACTACGTGGGAGTTATACGAGCCAGTTTTCTGTGAAAAGGTAGGAGAAAACACATTGGTTTAATTGCAACAGTGTTGCTTAACTGGCTGATCAAGCGAACATAATGTTTACCGGGCATTTTGCTACTATAGTTACCTTGAAGCTAAGTACAATAATAATACTTATATTAGTAACTAGCTGCACCCGCGACTTCGTTCGCGTGGAATATAACATTATTTTACTAAAATAAAAGTAGTCAGCTACTTGCCAAAAAAGTCCCGTCAAAATCGGTTCAGCCATTTCAGAGATTAGCCGGAACAAACAGATAGAGAGACAGACAAAAATGATAAAGAATGTTATTTTGGTGTATGTACCGTATTTATATTCATGTGCATGTAGTAAAAAAATGATTATTTCAATATTACAAACACTCCAATTTTATTTATATATATAGATTGTTGTTACTAACTAGGAATTTATACATGTATTGCAATGTAATTATATGTAATTAATGTAATTGTATGTAATTGATGTAATTATACGTATTACAATGTAATTGTATGTAATTGATCTAATTATATGTATTACAATGTAATTGTACGCACAATAATCATTGTGTATATGGATAAATGCTTTTATTGTAAGTGTTTATACAGATTCCAAACATTTTGCAATTGCTTATATGTATGCGCAACAATGTAATAGTTGACAGTAATTACTTTATCTTTTTTTTTATTTTCTTTCTTATCTATTTCCTAAAGCAATTTTTATGATATTATTTTTATTGCTTGCACTATAAAAGTTCATTTACAAGTTACATATTAATATAAAAACTAGACGTTTCTAAGCGGCTAAAGTATCATACATGAATAAATAATTTTTGATTCGATTTGATTATTATATGGCTAGTAGGTCAGAAGAACAAATTACAGTTTTATTAAAAAAAAATTACGTACTCTAATTTTAAACACACGATAAGTCATTAGATTTGTTATAAGTTGTTTAGTTATTTTGGTTATTTCTATTGAATAGCTAGGAGCTATTCTGTTCTTTTTACGCATACATATTTTGCATCCAACAGTTACACCAACTGTAACTCAACTTGTGCCAATATCATTCAAAAGCGGGATTGTGTCAGGATTTTGATGATTTTAATCGCTTTTTGATTTGTTGAGTCGATTTACATTTTTTAAAACCGGATTATTTAAAACCGGACAGAAAAATAGGGATGTCATATTTTTGACGTCGTATCGGTAGTATCGTAGCTCGTAACTGAATGGGCCGATTATGATGTAGATTTTTTATTTGTAAGTTATAATGAGTGGGATACTTTCTTAGGTATAATTTATATTTCCTTAAATAAAAAATTATCAGGCGATTTATAATTTTTCATAAAATGTATTTTTAATAATTAATTTTCTTCTTTTTAAGTTTAGTTTAAACAAAAACGTGCAACGAACGTATATTATAATTTATTAGAATAATTCCAAATAAATAATATAACGCCATCTATGTCTTAGATAGAAATTCTTTATTAGTCCAAGCGAGGGCGATTCCATTATTATTATGCACAAATAAATTCAAACACTTTACATGAACACACAATAGAGTATATTATCATTGTTACATAATATAAAATAAAGTCGCTGACGCTATCTGTCCGTCCCTGTGTATGCTTAAAAGTTTAAAACTACGCAACGGATTTTGAAGCGGTTTTATTAACAGATAGAGTGATTCAAGAAGAATGTTTATACATATAATACATGTATGCCAGTGCGATATCGGGGCGAGTAGATAGATCCACATGAAAAGTGTTTGTAAAACACATAATACATTATATATATACACACACAAGTAACGATATGCACATCAGTAATTCTGGTAAACCGCTTTGCTCAGTTTAAACGAAACTTTTAAATGTATTGGACTGTTCCAGTCTGCAATTCAACAGTGAAGCATGAGCTGTACTAACTCTACTAATTACCTAACGAGTACGAACGAGTGAGTACGAAATTTTGTTGTTCATAAACAGTTTATATCATAAAAGGCAATCCCACAAAATTATGCATTCTCTTGCAATTAAATAAAGTTGCGAAACAAATTTTGTTGCGTTCATTTAAAAACTTTTGTGCACACACCACAAAAGGAACTAATACTGAAAATTATGAGGTATATTTATTAAGGCCTCGATAGTCTAGCGGTATAGTACAATAGGAATCGAACTGCGACCATTGGAAGTAAAGCGTTTGCGGAATCGATTGCTCGCGTGGTATAAATATTTGTATTCATGAGTATGATTGTTTCTATCGGTCTCGATGTTTTCTATGTACATACTATGTATGTGTCATTATTACATAGTATAAAACAAAGTCGCTGTCGCTGTCTGTCCGTCCTATACATAGGTCCGTCCCATTCATACACATAATAGAGTATATTATCATTATTACATAGTATAAAATAAAGTCGCTGTCGCTGTCTGTCCGTATGTATATGCTGTCTGTCTGTCCGTGTATGCTTAAATCTTTAAAATTACGCAACGGATTTTGTAGCTGTTTTTTTAATAGATAGAGTGATTCAAGAGGAAGGTTTATATATATAAAACATGTACTCGCGTGCGAAGCCGAGGCGAGTCTTATAGAGCTAGTATAAATATATATAAAATTCTCGTGTCACAGTTTTCGTTCCCATACTCCTCCGAAGAAACGGCTTGATCGATTGTCATGAAATTTTGTGAGCGTATTGAGTAGGTCTGAGAATCGGCCAATATCTATTTTTCATCCCCCTAAATGTTAGGGGTAGTCCACCCCTAAATTTTTATTTTTATTTTTTAGAATAAATTTTTAGTTTCTATTTTTTTATGATACAACATACAAAAATACATACAATCCTAAATTTTCACCCTTCTATCATCAACCCCTATTTTTTTTATAGCGTTTTTAATTTATATGGCAAAAGAACGTTTGCCGGGACAGCTAGTATAGTATATATTTAAGTATTTATATTAGTTTTATTTTATTATTTCATTGAATTAGTGCTAATCGGTGGTTTGTATTCACACACTTAAACTTAAATTGTAAGTAAGAATAAATTATTTAAAAGAGCAACACACAAGTTTCTTGCTTGTTCTTCTTGTGATGAGACAGCATTCCGAATGAGCGGTAGATTAAAAATAAATGTTATGACTATTCAAAAGTGCTTCAATGTAAGTGTATTTGAATAAATGATTTTCTATTCTATTCTATTCTAGTTATTTAGTACCCATAACACAGACTCTTAGGTTGCACCTAGACGGCGTAGTTTTGTATTGTCCAGGGATATTTTTACTATTTATACGTTACCTATATTACATTTTACTAACTGTTTATCGTCGTAACATGGCAGTTAAAGAAGTCGTTAATACCATATCCAAGTGGGAATATCGGGAAATTCTTTCCGAGTGCAAGCAAATAAATTTCTACACTTTAAAGTTTAAGCTTTTAATTCTAGTTTAAGTTTAGACTGTGTATTTGTAGATCAGTCCGATTTTTTTTTACTAGTTTTATTAATTTGTCGTTCGGAAATATATATTATAATAAACAGATTTGAAATTTGTCAGAGTTTTTTTTATAGCTAATGGATGTATGGACTTTTGTGTAAAGTAATTTAATTATTATTTAATTATCATAAATATACTATATTAAAGTTATATTATTTGAATGTAGACTGTCTTGGATATAATGGATGGACTAGCTGTACCCGCGACTTCGTCCGCGTGGAATTCAACTTTATTTTTCTATAATAAAAGTAGCCTAAATTACTCCTTATTGTATCAGCTTCCTGCCAAAAAAGTTCCATCAAAATCGGTCCAGCCATTTCAGAAACTAGCCTGAACAAACAGACAGATGTACAAAAATTGTAAAAAATGTTATTTCGGTATGTGTACCGCATTTATATTCATATGCATGTACTAAAAACTGTTATTTCAATATTACAGACAGACACTCAAATTTTATTTATATGTATAGATTAAGGAACCGTATTAGACACATTGGTTTTTTGAATAAAAAGTATATCTAATCAATAATATTTAAAATTAGTATTCTTGTTGCTAAGTAACAGTTATGTGTAACTTGCGACTATGATGAAATTAATAGTAAATTCTACCCATATGACATTTGCATTTACAAGAAATACAAAAAAAAAAACCAGAATATGCTTTATGGCCGGACAGTTTATATATAAACAAGAGTTTATTTATACTCACGATTAAAGTCCAAAGAGCAGACTGCAATAAAATACCATATGTTATTCCTTTGAGCATCGGATTGAGAGACTTATTGAAATCGATTCTTCTTGTGTATTGCTTAATAAAAACGTCCATGCACATGTATGTCATACCAATAGTTATTTCGAAAATTATAAAATCAAATATTCTTACTGAAACAAATTATTTAATTAAGTCTTGTTACTATATATATATAGAAGCCTTCTTCAGGCTATGTAAGGTATAGATAGATATGGTCGTGAGCAACGCAGATCTAACATTGATATTTAAAAATATATATAAACTAGCTGTCCCGACAAACGTTGTTTTTCCATATAAATTAATAACGCTATAAAAAAATAGGGGTTGGTGATAGAAGGGTTGCAAATATTTTTAAATGACACGTAATAAATAAATTATAATAAAAAAAATTTGCCAATGAAAAAAAAATAATGTTAGGGTGGACAACCCTTATCACTTGAGGGTATGAAAAATTGATAGTAGCCGATTTTCAGACCTACTGAATATGCATATAAAATTTCATAAAAATCGGTCAACCGTTTCAGAGGAGTATGGTAACTAACATTGTGGTGTTCAGTTAAAACTATTAAAATACATTAAGTATGTAATTCTCTTTAGAAACCAATATTATCCTGAACATATAGATAAATGACAGTTCTCCTATTGAGTATACTTTCAAGAAAATTTCTTATTTCTTCTCAAAAGAAAGGCAATAAACTTGCAATTCATCTGGTGTTGCAGGTACTTATGCACAGCGAAATAACTTACCATCAGGTGAGACGAAGCTCACATATCCCCTATGCAATAAAAAAAAAAAACAATATATTGCAGCCTAACTTTATTTTCAGTAATACTACTTACCCAATGATATTTCTATTTCTAAAAATTAAAGACAGGAATTACGAGAATTGACGGATGCAGGTAAATTATCAGGGGAGGCCTAAACACAATTTTATGATTAGATGTATAGTGAGACTTAATGTTTGGAGTCTGCTAAAGTACGTAGTAAGTTTACATGGGACGATAAATGCAAATGTATGAAATGTTAAAAAGGAATATAGGTTTACAATACTTTTATAGGAGGACTAGCTTTTGCCCGCGGCTTCGCTCTTTTCGCGTTATTTTATCCCCTTTAGGGGTTATTTATCAAAATCCTTTCTTAGCGGATGCCTACGTCATAACATCTACTTGCAATGCAAATTTCAGACCGATCCGTCCAGTGGTTTGGGCTGTGCGTTGATAGATCACTATGTCAGTCACCTTTGAGTTATATATATATATATATATATATATAGATATATATATAGATATAGATAACAGTTACTAATAGGTGATCAACTTATTCTACCTTACTCTTAAAAGAACCTATCGTGAACATCATTACATATATAAAACAAAGTCGCTGTCGATGTCTGTCTATCCCTATGTATGCTCAAATCTTTAAAATTACGCAACGGATTTTGAAGCAGGTTTTTTAATGTATAGTATGATTAAGACGAAGCTTTATATGTATAATACATGTACACCCGGGCGAGTAGCTAGTACAGTAATAAAGATAACTTACTATTTTTCAAATAAAAATATAATTACCATTTTCAACTACCTTTGAAAATAAATCGAAATTTGAACTTGACGACGAAAATGTGAACGCTAAGTATATAAATTTCTTTATACTATCCCATTTGAAGTGTTCTTTGCCGAAGTCCTGAAACATATTAAAGATAATATCTATAATGAAAAATAGAAAAAATAATTTTAGTTTTTAATTTCATAATAATTAAAAGAAAAGAATCAAAATTGAACTCAAATGAACTAGAAATAAAAATCGATAATAATATAATTTTAAAAAATCATCTGTGTCAACAATTATGTACCAACTATTTAGGCAGGTGAACAGATTTCCTTGCAAGATGTGTTTCGATTGCAACATAATATAATGCTGTGAAATTCCAGAACAAATAGAAAGCCAGAACAAATTTTGATAATAGTCCACTAGTCCTCTTTTTGTTATTTTGAATATAATAAATTTATATATATCTGTATATAACATAAAACCTGCATCTTAGTTGTTTTTTTAATGAGTAATGGAGGGCTGCCGGAAAATCAGCGCTCTATAGATTCACTTCATTAAGGTTGTGCTTATATTAGCAACAGCTATTGCCAATTTTTGTATGTTATTATCTATATAATATATTATATCTCATTTTGTCTTATTATAAATTGTATTATTTATGTTACGTTGGCAATAAATCCATTATCTGTCTATCTATATCTAGAATTCAACGATGAATTCTGGATGGTGAAAAAAACAGTTAAACCCAGTAAATGACATTATTCCTCTGTAAAAAAATGCGAGCTGAGTTTCTTGTCAGTTCTCGAAATCATTTCGAACTGACGGTAAATTTGATATATCATAAGAGTCTGTAATAGACCTATATGAATAAAGATATTTTTAATTTGAATTTGGATTTATACAAAACGACGTATACCGGATCCGCTAGTAAATATATAAACACCGAAATAAAATCGGAAAAAGGTAATAGAATAGAATAAAAGAACTAACCCTTCTTTCGTCCTGTAATGACACACTAGAAGTCAGGTCTAATAAAGTTTGCGTTCTGTGAGGCATTTTTATTGTTACACTTAACTGAAAATTAGAACTCAAACTAAATTACCTGCAATAGTCGTTCCCGCTTCTACTTTAAGCACAAGTTATATATTTAACGAGTTCAAAGTATATAATATGCACTTAGAGTAGACGCTTGAAAATTAATGGTGTAAATCTGAGTAATACCTAAGGAAATAGAGAACTAAGCTAGCTGCAGTAACCTAGCTTAATGGTTCATTTTACATAATGGATTTCAATTAATGCATACCAGTGCATGCAATTAAAGTAAATTGTATCTGTTTTCATTTATATTTGTATTTATATATACATTTCTAAAGAAATATAAAACAAGAAGGAAGAAATGTTTAAAGAAATATAAATTTAAATAGTTCGAAAATATCATTGTACGTTTTTATCATACCGCATGCTAAATCTATACATCTATACGTATAAATAAAATTGGAGTGTATGTTTGTAATATTGAAATAACCGTTTTTTACTATATGCATATTATAAATACGGTAGGTAAAAAATAAAATTATAATGTAAAAATTTGACGTTCATAAGCGCCTAAAATGTCCTACATGAATAAATGATTTTTGAATTTGAATTTGGTACATACACCAAATTAACATTTTTTTACAATTTTTTTCTGTCTGTCGGTCTGTTTGTTCCGGCTAATCTCTGAAATGGCTGGACCGATTTTGACGGGACTTTTTTTGGCAGGTAGCTGATATAATAAGGAGTGAATTAGGCTACTTTTATTTTTAAAAAATCGTTATTTTCGAAAAAAGAAGTTACATTCCACGCGAACGTAGTCACGGGTACAGCTAGTTAGCAATAAAATTATATTAAAATCCATTGGTAGATTACAAAATCCATTTATTGTATTAATAATGATTCGTACCAAAATATAGGTAGATTTTTTACTTAATAAAAATACTGTATATTAACAAAATATATCTAATTAAACTTTCTTAACTTTACTTTCTCTATCCACCCAAAGGTAGTCTGTAAGAAATTGATTAGTAATAAGACCGCGTTATGTTAATGTAGATTTACTTTAATTATTATCTGTATTTTATACAATAAAGATTATAAATAAATAATCGATAGTAATATTATTAAAGTGAAAATATGTGTGCGTGTCTATATACTCGTACATATGTTTATTGCCCTTATATTTGACGACGTCGGTGGTCTAGCGGTAAGCACACCGCTTTACGTCTGGTCGCGGATTCGATTCCTCGCTCGGCACAAACATTTGTATTCATGAGTATGATTGTTTGTATCGGTCTGGGTGTTTTCTATGTATAATATGTATGTAATTACGAAAAAAAATTATCTATTTATTTGTATCAGTTATTTAGGTCCAGCAAGCTACCTATATCCCACTGCATGAAATATAGTCAACGTTATCAGCTGATAATTTGGCATTTTATAGTTGAAGTAATTATTAAAACAGATCATGTATTTTTTTAATTTATACATAGGTATTATATCAAAAAGAATCATAATTTCTCTTGTTCATGTAATAACTTGAAAACACCTCAACTAATAATTCATATTTCTTTATAATTTTATGATAATATATAGAATTTTTTCACATAATAAAAAATAATGAAAATTACGACAATAATTTTAAAATTTCAGCAAACTCAACAACTATTTCCAATTCGCGTAAACAGGCTGAAACCTCTGTGCGGTCTAGTTATTTTGAAACTAAAATTTAAATATTTCTATTTATAACATTAGTATAGATAATTTATTCATTTATTCAGTTACCAAAGAGTAGAATAATACAATGTGAATAAAATAACTTAAACGCTATTGTTGTGAGCGAAAGAGCCTCCACTCGACGCTTCCAGCCGTCTATCACTATATTGCGCTTCGTCAATTCTCAATAGCGAAATAACCGGCCGTGGTGTAACTTTTGTACGCGTTCAAATCGAAACAACTGACGATTTAATTTACTGGAACTTTCGCGTTTAGCATACAATGTTTTAATAGTTTGTTATATTCATATAGTTCCATAGTTCTGTCATCTACAGGAATTATACCAAGAAGTCTTAGCAAATACCTTATGTTGCAAATCCCCTCATCTACAAGAGAACTATTACAAAGAGCCATCATTCTTAACATATGTAAGGAAATTTCTTTCGTCATCACATGCATACCTAATCCTCATATAACTTTTAAACTCATCCATGCTTGGCAAAACCCGCGTGTTTGAATATATTACCCTTTAAAATGGGAGATAAAATGTATATAAAAAAATATCTCAGGACAATTCACACAGTGCCCTCTAGTCCCAAGATAATCAGATCTTGTGTTATAATACTAAATAACTAAAATAAATAATTTTGTAATGTATATTTTTCTTTGTAAATACATACATAATATAATATACAAAAAACCCAGACCGATACAAACTATTATACTCATGAATATAAATGTTTGTACCGTGCGTGGAATCGAACCCACGACCATCGGAAGTAAAGCTGTGTACTAAACTGCTAGGCCACCGATACCGTCTTATTTATATAGTTTAAATAGAAAATGAAGTGTTAATTTTTATTTATTTATATGCTTTATTGACCAATAAAATAGAACTCAAGAGGAGTTATAGGATATGATAAATGAAATTAAAAAGTGACGAAATGCTACCCCACCCAGGGAAAGTGAAAGAAAAAGAGGCAGACCAAACACAAGATGGTATGATGATATGACGGAATTGTGAGGAGCAATGGTGGAGTAAGGAAGGACAGAATGGCTCAAGAAAGAGGAGATTAGACACGACTGAAGGAGGCATATGCCGATTACCAAAAAACACCTGCAGAAAGTAAATAAAATGCAAATACTATAATATAAATATTAATTGCTGTATTTTTAAATAAATGTAGACAGGGCATGTAGCTAACATTCCCTGTCCACATGATCGGTATATTGAAATATAACATGGCGGAAGTCTAGCGTCACCTTGAATCGAATTATCTTGATGATTTGTCATCGATATTTCTAACAGTCAGTAATATAAAATCACACACAATTTTGTTTCATCCATATTCGAATCTAGGATATTCGGTCAATGTAGTGTTAGGAAACTACGACGCTCACAGGTAAATGCTCAAGAGTAATTAGTTAATTCAAAATTTAACTATTTAAATGAAAATAAACTTATAAACAAACTCTATTAATAATGCCTCAAAAGGTCTAAAATAAAGAAAAACTAATAACTTTCATTATTAGAACAATAATATTGCATTACTTAATAATAATGTAATTTATTCTATGTTATTTTATTTTCGATCATTTGGGCGAAATAATGCATATACCTCATTAATTCGATATCATTTCGACTCAAACCCCTTTGGATGAAACAATATCATTTATTTAACGATATATTTATCAGGGATGCCAATCATGCGAGAATCCTCTTGTATCTTGATTCTTATGTACGAGATTGGTCTTCGGTATGAAGACATAGATGTCTTCAATATGATAAATATTATCTGATTGCACTAAGAATGAATCCCATGACTCTTACTTGTTATTGTGAAATTGTTTATATAAAAAAGTATATTCAAAAGAGCAACACTCTAGTTTCTTTATCATTTCTTGTGATAAATCTGCGTTCCAAATGAGTAGTAGAATGAAAAATATGACTATTCGAAAGTGCTTGTATTGGGTTTATTTGAATAAAGATTTATTTCTGTTTCTATTTCATCATACCGAAGATCGAATATCAAATAATGAAATCCTGGTACATATTTGTATAAGATAAAATCCGAATATGAAATTATTACTAGTTCGGAGAGTTAAATTGTGCCAACGTTGGAATGTTTAACTACAAGGCTAAATTTGTTAAACCAACCTTCTTGTTATTTGTGGAAAATCATCCAAATCTACCTCTCGGATGTATGAGAGATCTCCACCCACTAAATACGACGTGGTGTACATCGAGCCACTATTTCCGGTGTCACGGAAACGCGTTAACTCCGGCGCCGGTGGCCCGTTGAATATTGTAGGGCCGATCTCTTCGACTAGATGCTCTAACAGAAAATCGCCTTATTTATTTGACGAAGTATA